ACTTGTCATCAATGTACAGTCAGTCCACTAGAATTTGTTTTCGTAAATTTCCATTTTCCATTCGGTCGTTCGGTAACGATGTGAAAAATGATTTTGTTTCAACCATAGAAAATAACCACCTCTTCTACACTACAAAGTACTGACCCTCAATAAACACTAAAAAAAAGGCATAACCACCTTTTTTTTCACACTACCCTTCAAGACACACTCCAGGTCCGGCCGTCGCCGCCAGGTCCTCACTTGAGGAGGCGCACAGACTGAGGTTCGACGAACTCCCACCCATTCACACGCATCGTCCCCAACGGCCCGTCTACCACAACATTGCCCGGTACCCGGGGAGGTTAAACTTTACCTTTCTGCGATTACTTCGATTGTCAGTTTAAAGGTAACAGCAGCAGCTCTTCATGTCTGAAAGTTTAAATGTAATTATAAAGTCTTCCTCTAAACTAGAAAATCTTTTGTGGTTACCAGGTTTGTTTTTTGTTTCACGTATTTTGAGAGTACATCTCGTGATCGCAGCAAAGTTTACAGCTGTATGATCCATATGGTTTTAAGTTTGAAGTGATAAGGATGGAGCCTTATATAGCGCCAGGAGGTCAGACGTAGACCCTGCAACACCCTTGTGTTGCAGTGTCTGTCAGACACTGCAACACAAGGTGTCTTGGTACAGACTTGAAATCAACTTCGACAACCTCTATCTAGTGAAATGGCGGATTTTGAGAGGGACCTGTCCTCTCACGTTTACATTCTTACCTCTACTAGTGGACCTACGTCTCACCTCCTGGCGCATATAAGACTCCATCCTATCACTTCAACTCCATATTGTTTTCAGACCATGGAACGGTAACTCGTTCTCCAAGACTGAGGGACTGACCAACTCAAAACTTCAAGGGTGATGGACTGATTACATCGTCCTTCAAGTCCTCTTACTACTTCTATCAACTTTTCGTACTCGACTGAAGAAGCCTACTGTGTAGGCGAAACGTTTCGAAATAAAGTTACCTAGCTGTTCATATTGGTCTTACCTAACAACCTGTCGGATTTTATACCATTTATTGTTCATTCCCGTAGACTTACGATTCTCTATTATAAAAGCTAATAATACTACTAACAACTATAAATTAATTAATAATAATAATAAATAATAATAATACATAATAATAAAATAATTAATAATAATAATAATAATAATAGAGAAGCCATGAGGATAAGTGACTAGGTCGCCCAGACCGACAAGGTAACACTAGCGAGGTTTAATCATGAAAGAAAAATGGATTGGATTCAGAAGGTAACTGTGAATATAAATTCTGTCCTTGGCTACAGCTAAGTTTACAGCTGCACTGTACCGTGGAAGTGACACCCTACACACCTACTAATGGGGTCAACCTGCCCCACACCTCACTCACCTGTAAGCAACCATCACAAACCAACCCTTATAACCTGCAGTACTGACAATCTCTTTTCATATATGTGACATTTTTTGTTATTATTAATTAAAAATTATTATTATTAATATTATTATTATATTATTATTATTCTTATTATTAGTTATTATTGTTATTATTATTTTAATATTATTATTATTATTATAATATTAATATTATTATTAATTATTATTAATTATTATTATTATTATTATTATTATTATTAATTATCAATCTTTCTTTTTGGTAGTAATGGTAGAAGATAGTAGATAATAATATAGTAGTAGTGGTAGTGAAGAGCAGTGTAGAAACATCAGTAGTAATAATAGTAGTCAATAGTAGTAGTAGTAGTGGGGGTAAGAGTAGTTATAGTATCATTAGTAGTAATATAGTAGTAAAATAATAACAGTACTAGTAGTTATAGTGGTAGCACATTAACAGCATAGTAGTAAAACTTAATATAGAGTATTTGTAGTATTATTAAGTAATTATTAAATATAAATAAATGCTACGCCATTATTGCTTTTAAAACTACGAATATTCTGCTGCTGCTATTGTTACTATTGCTTCGTCTCTTCTTACGACGTTCTTCACCACTATTGTTACTATACCGCTATTACAATCACATTTATGGTTGCCACTATATTATATTAGACTTATTGCATACGTTACTACTAACCCGACTATTTCTTCTCTGTTCTTGCTATTAATATCACTTGTTTATTTACGTTTTGTAATGCTATGCTATGTAATGACACTATTACATATGTTTAATTACTTAACTTCAACAATTATTTTATTTTCATAACATTTTTGCTTCTGACAACCATGTGTTAAAATTACTCTTTCTTCTATATCTACATTTTTGTTTCTACTACTACTGCTTCTACTACTACTGCTTCTACTACAACTGCTGTCTACTACTACTCGCTTCTAACTACTACTGCTACTACTACTACGGCACTACTACTACTGCATCTACTACCTACAGCTTCTACTACAACTGCTTCTACTATATTGCTTCTACTACTACTGCTACTACTACTACTGCATCTACTAACTACGCTTCTACTACACTGTAACTACTACTACTGCTTCTACTACTACTGCTACTACTACTACTGCTTCTACTACTACTGCTTCTACTACTACTGCTTCTACTACTACTGCTACTACTACTACTGCTTCTACTACTACTGCTTCTACTACGTACTGCTACTATACTACTGCTTTCTACTAATATGCTACTACTACTACTGCTTCTACTACTACTGCTTCTACTACTACTGCTACTACTACTACAGCTATCTTACTACATACAGCTACTTACAACTACAGCTACTACTACTACTGCTTCTACTTACTACTGCTTCAACTACTACTGCTTCAACTACTACTGCACTCTACTAACTGCTTCTTCTACTACTACTGCTTCTACAACTACTCTTTCTACTACTACTTACTTCTAATGCTTCTACTACTACTGCTACTACTACTACTGCTTCTACTACTACTGCTTCTACTACTACTGCTTCTACTACTACTGCTTCTACTACTACTGCTTCTAAATACAAATGCTTCATGCTACTGCTTCTACCTACTGCTACTACACTATTACTATTACTCTACTTCTACACACTACTGACTACTACCACCACCCACCACAACTACACTACTACCACCACCACCACCACCCCCACTACTACTACACTACTACTAAACTACTACTACTACCCACCACTACCACCACCATCACCACCACCACCACCACTACTACTACAACTACTACACTACTACCAAACCCCCACCACTATACTACTATACTACCACCACCACCCCACCACCACCCAAATACTACTACTACTCACTACTACTACTACTACCACCACCCCACCTAACTACTACTAACTCCCCTACTTTCAAATACTACCACCACCCACCACTGCTACTACTAACCACTACACCACCACCAAACCACCACTAAATACTACACCACTCACACTACTTTTACTCTGCTACTACCACCACCACCACCACTACTACTACACCACCACACCCCACCACCCTACTAATAATTACAACTACTACTACTACTACCACCACCACCACTGCACTACTACCACCACCACCACCACCACTACTAAATTTTCTACCACTACTAAATACTAAATACACTACTACCACCACCACCACCACTACTACTACTACCACCACCACCACCACCACCACTACTATTATTACTACTAAATACTAACCCACTACCACCACACTACTACTAACCACCTACCACTACTTCGCTACTACCACCACACACCACACTACTACTTACTAATACCACCACCACCACCACCACTACTATTATTACTACTACTACTACTTTCCCCCACCACCACTGCTACTACTACCACCACCACCACCACCACCACCACTGCTACTACTACCACTACTACTACTACTACTACTACCACCACCACCACCACTACTATTATTACTACTACTACTACTACTACCACCACCACCACTGCTACTACTACCACCACCACCACCACCACCACCACTGCTACTACTACACTACTACTACTACTACTACTACTACCACCACCACCACCACTACTACTACTACCACCACCACCACCACCACCACCACCACCACTACTATATTACTACTACTACTACTACTACCACCACTACTACTACTACCACTACTACTACTACTTCTGCTACTACCACCACCACCACCACTACTACTACTACCACCACCACCACCACCACCACTACTATTATTACTACTACTACTACTACTACCACCACTACTACACTACCACTACTACTACTACTTCTGCTACTACCACCACCACCACCACTACTACTACTACCACCACCACCACCACCACCACTACTATTATTACTACTACTACTACTACTACTACTACCACCACTCACTACTACTACTACTACCACCACCACCACTACTACTACTACCACCACACCACCACCACCACCACTACTATTATTTACTACTACTATACTACTACCACCACTACTACTACTACTACCACCACCACCACCACCACCACTACTATTATTACTACTACTACTACTACTACCACCACTACTACTACTACTACTACTACCACCACCACCACCACCACCACCACTACTACTACTACCACCACCACCACCACCACTACTATTACTACTACTACTACTACTACTACTACTACCACCACTACTACCACTACTACTACTACTGTTATTACACACCCATTACTGATACCACTGTCATTATTACTGTCTTTACGTAATGTCATTGTGACGAATCATAACTTTACAGTTCCGTTTTATTGTATACCGGTCGTCTTCTACCGAGGTGGGGTGACCCCCCAAAATAGAGGAAACACATTCACCGTCAATCATTCAATAGCTGTGTTTCCAGAAGGCTGTTGACATCACAGTACTGATCACAGTCCTAACTGAAACACCCCCATCCCTACCTCAGAGTACAAGCAACCTGCAGGACTCAAGTCTGGTCAACAAATTTATTTGAATCTCTTCATTAATATTTCCTTGCTCACACTCCAACAGCATGTCATGTCATGAAAAGCACTTGCCTATAGTCCGATGTAACATGCTCACATAGGCCTGTTGGATGCTCAAGCCCAAGCATTTAAAACTATCTTTAGCCCCTCACTGCAACTCCTTTGACAACCCTTACCCCTCCTAGTTATCCTATTTAACTCCATCCTCTCTAAAATACCCTATCTACTTTAACAATTCCTCTACAACCTTTCAAATCATAATTTTAGTAACCCCAAACCTTCTAGTCTCCTAGCTTCGAATTCTCTGCTTAATATTCACATCACACACTGCTCTTAAGCACGACATTTCCACTGTTCCTAACCTCCTTATTGCAACTTTTAATACCCAAGGTTCATACCCAAGTAACAGTCATCATGTTTTGCCACCAACGATCAAGTGGTAGCTCAGAATAGATACTAATTCACACTTGTTTCAAGCCTTCCAGCTCGCTTCAGCCAGCCGTCGTCAGGAGATCCACTGTCTTCCCATCTGCCGCCTCCACTGATACTACTTTTGACGACATTACCTCTGCTACTAGCACCACCACCACTGCTACTTCTTTTAACAACATTACCTCTGCCACTGATGTCTTCTTTGCCATCAACGACACTACCACCAGATGGCCAGGTAAGATGATAACTTACATTTATTTTCGGTTACAGCCTGAAATGTGTTGAGACAAAGATAGGTGTTGAATAATCTTTTACTAGAATAACATTTCGCTCTATCAAGTCATGATTAGATAAAGCTCAACACAGGGTAAAACGTTGTCCCAAGTAAAGCTTGTTCTGTACTTCGGCTTCACACTTGTCAACAATGTACTAGGTCAGTCCACTGAATTGTTTCGTAAATTTCCATTTTCCATTCGGTCGTTTGGTGAACGATGTGAATAATTGATTTTGTTTGCAACCATAGAAAATAACCACCTCTTTCACACTACAAAGGTACTGACCCTCAATAAACACTAAAAAAAAGGCATAACCACCTTTTTCACACTACCTTCCAGACACCCTCCAGGTCCGCCGTCGCCGCCAGGTCCTCCTTGAGGAGGAGGCACAGACTGAGGTCGACGAACTCACCACCCAGTCACACGCATCGTCCCCAACGCCGGCTACCACAACATTGCCCGGCCAGGGGAGGTAAACTTTACCTTTCTGCGATTACTTGCGATTGTCAGTTTAAAGGTACAGAAGCAGCTCTTCATGTCTGAAAGTTGAAATGTAATATAAAGTCTTCCTCTAAACTAGAAAATCTTGTGGTTACCTAGGTTTGTTTTTGTTTCACCGTATTTGAGAGTACATCTCTTGATCGGCTGCAAAGTTACAGCTGTATGATCCATATGGTTTTAAAACTTATTTTAATACAGTAACAATAATTATTCTTACTATGTTACCATGTTATTATTTCTATATAATATTAATAATAATAATAATAATAATAATAATAATAATAATAATAATAATAATAATACAAAATATATAAACTCTGAGGGGTATATTTTTCTCAGAATGTATACAGTCCAAGGGGCTGGAAAGTGAAAGAGTAAATCAAGCTTCTGGCATTGTTCTCTTCTCAGTAAATTGTGTCTGATAGACGAGACTCAAACAAAATTCGAGAACTTCCTAAATGGCAGCACAAAAAATATAGTTATACGAAAGCTCCACTAAATGTGTGTTATCCTCTCTGGTGCATAGTGAACTCTGGCTGTCTGCAACGAACCCAACATTGAGGAAATTTCAGTTAAAGAGCCCCCAGAATGGGTCGGCTGTCAGCTGCTGACCTCACCTTCCTTAACTGTCTGCTCCATGCTTTTAGTGGTTTGACATTTAAATGGCATACCCCTATGCAAAATAGTGTACTAGAATTATTATAATAATCAAAACAAAGTACTAAACCACCAAGGTCATACAGCGCTGCAAGGTAGAGTTAGTAAGGACAATGAGGAGTGGTAAAGTATAATCAAAAGTTGTGTAATAAATTTGATGCTGTCAGAAAGTCGAAAAGGGAGTCAGTGTCAAAGGTCGAGCGTCATTGAGGAGGGAAGATAAAGTGTGTTAGAGCAGTGACGACGTCGAAGCTAAATTCTTCGTGCTTACTAATAGACTAGACAGTCAAACAGAATATGGCAGTTCTTACAGAGTGGAACTGAACGCCTCTCCATGAGATACCCATTAGTGTCACGTGTGTGTCTGATAGTTCCATCGTGCCTGATGCATAGACGGGAAAGTGTCGTCTCTCAACCACGACATCGACGATAAGAACATGAGAACATAAGAAAGAAGGAACACTGCAACAGGCCTACTGACCCATGCGAAGCAGGTCCATGCCACCCCCCGGTGTAGGTTTCTAAAGTCGACTTGGTAGAATGTAATTTGTTATGAATCACGTCAGACCAACGTTGTTACCAACGGTTCCGAAGGTGGCTAGAGATTATAGCAAAATAATCTGAGAGTGGAATAACTCTATATGAAACTGGAAGGTCGTGTACCGCTGGCAGTGCTGCAGTCTCTCCCTGCTCGTTACCCTGAGCAACATCATGATCAGGTACCCAGCGAAAACCAATTTCTGTATTTTTGATAGAAATACGGCACAACCAAAGTTGTATACGAAGTGTTGGGAATCTGTAGAATATTATACTATGTATCTGTATACAGGAATGAAAGATACTTAGTTTTGAAGAATTGAGACACTTATGCAACACATGGGAATCTTTATTGAAGAAACGTTTCGCCACACAGTGGCTTCTTCAATAAAGATTCCCATGTGTTGCATAAGTGTCTCAATTCTTCAACTTGTCGGTTTTCAAAACCATTCATCACTTCTGTCAGACACTGCAACATCATGGAATCTTGGTACAAAGACTTCAACGCTTGCCCAGCCTTTGGACGACGACCTACTTACATTAGTGGCAGGTCCCACTAAGATCCCGCCTCCTCCTGCTTCAACTCTTCTCACCGCAGTATATAAGCCACCTCTCTGGCCCTATGCTGCATTTCCTACAAGAGTGATGGACTGAACACATCGATTCCAGGTTGAGGGACTGATTACCTCGAACTTCTACTCCACTTACCCATTTCTACTTTGTATTGGACTGATGAAGCCACTGTGTGGCGAAACGTTTCTTCAATAAAGATTCCCATGTGTTGCATAAGTGTCTCAATTCTTCAACTTGTCGGTTTTCAAAACCATTCAACACATACTTAGCTTTGTTGCTGTTTCAGCCTTTCTGCAACTGCACCCAGAAGGCTCCTCCGACGTGAAACAGCTGTTCTACAGGCCATAGCTGATAAGGTACAAGTATGAGTATATAATTGCTCCAAAGGAGCGTATGTATCAGAATTTCATTCAGCAATGCTGAATATCGATAAACTTACTTTTTTGGGCTCACTGGCTCTCGGATGATGGGGTGTGTAGATAAATCTAGACCTGACTTACCCTATCTGCTGCACAGACGACCTAACCAAGTGCATGCCAGTCTAGACTTTGTAGATGAATGGTTCACAGAACCGACACGTTGATAAATTAGACACATTTGCAACTCTTGGGTATCTTTATTAAGGAAACGTTTCGCCACACAGTGGCTTCATCAGTCCATACACATGAGAAGATTGAAGAACAGGAGGAAAATGAGGTAATCAGTCCCTCAACCTTGAGTCGATGTGGTCAGTCCATCAATCTTGAGTAGAATACGGCATATGATGGACTGACCACATCGACTCAAGGTTGAGGGACTGATTACCTCATTCTCCTCCTGTTCTTCAAGCTTCTCATGTGTATGGACTGATGAAGCCTTTGTGTGGCGAAACGTTTCCTTAATAAAGATACCCAAGAGTTGCACATGTGTCTAATTTATCAACGTGTCGGTTCTGTGAACCATTCATCTACCATCCTGTCAGACACTGCAACTTCTTGGGATCTTAATACTTGGAAATTCTTCGCTTGCCTAACCCTTGGGCACGACCTACTTCCACATTGAGCAAATGTGACACCACCTACGACTGCTGCACCTCTCCTACCTACGGTTTATAAGCTCCTCCTCTCATATGCCGTATCTACTCAAGATTGATGGACTGACCACATCGATTCAAGGTTGACAGTCTAGACTTACCTGGGTTTTGTATCTGACCCTCAAGTGTCACCCTGGTATCCGATGTCTTGACTGAAGTAGTAGTGTCTGTCTCTAAAGAAT